CCGATCTACTTATTGTTAAAGATTTACCGCTTTCACGCATGATGTGACTCCTTTTGACTTTGTGGATCGTCATCGACGTTTGATAGACTCTCAGCGTTTTTGTTTTATTATTCTCCGTATTATGTCACTGACTTTTATTCATTTAATTTATTATATCCTTGAATTGGCCGAGGAAGACTCTGTAGAGTTCGAAACGTCCCTACGTTATTTTCTATTCGTGAGAGATTAAACTCTTTATTAATTTTGACATCTATTGGATTGCTCGTTATTGGCCTTGAATTTTTTATTTGTTATAATTGTTTAATCCCTGATATCTTAACTAGTTTAAGATACTTATTCTATGTAATCTTACAGAAAAGCAAAAGTTACGTTTATTGTCCATATTGTGATAAATTATCACCTGGATGGGATATAAATGAATATAAGAAACATCCTTATCATGATGGGAACTTAATTGATTATCCTGGTGTTTACATCAAGGTAATATGATTACTGTATATTTTACAATATATCTTTTATAATATATAGTTAACATTATACTATGTATGTATAATATGTATGTCCCAGCTAGATTTTTTAAAAGAAGATGAGGCTGAAGAGCTTATGAAAGCGCTCGATGATCTCCCTTGGCAAGCTTCACAAAGCGGTAGAAGAAAACAGGTATAATATTGAAGCATTTAGAAAAAAAAAGTAGAAAAATATTGATATATTTACACATTTTATAAACTAAAATGTTTGAATTTTTATAGAATTTTGGACCAAAATGTAACTTCAAAAAGCGGAAACTGCAATTAGGATCATTTAACGGTTTTCCCAAAACAACACAGTTTGTACAGAGAAAATTTGAGGAAATACCGTTGTTACACGGTTTTCAAACTGTTGAGCAGTGTTCGCTTGAGTATGATCCGGAACGAGGCGCTTCTATCGATCCCCACGTGGACGATTGCTGGATCTGGGGAGAACGTATAGTAACCGTGAACGTTCTAGGTGATTCTGTTTTGACCATGACTCCTTATCGTGGTCCAATAACGCGATATAATTTAGACTGCGTTCCAAATTATGATTCCATCCTAGAGAAAGATATGTATGATAATACACGATCTGTAGATATCGATAACAACGTGGTAATACGATTGCCGATGCCTGCAAGATCACTCATGGTCTTATATGGCCCAGCAAGGTATAATATTCTGCTTATAAATATTAGAAAAGTCGAAATTAATATTATTAATTATACGATTATTGTTTGATAGATACAAATGGGAACACTCTGTGTTTCGACAGGACGTCACATCGAGACGCGTTTGCCTTGCCTATCGCGAACTAACACCTCCGTACCTCGAAAATGGAGAACATCAAGAAGAAGCTTCTGAGATTTTGAGGCAAGCTTCACTCTTCTGGTGATGTTATGAAACAAATTTAAATAATTGTTACATTTATTTATTAAAAAATTGATAATTAAGGATATATTTGACATGATAAATGTAAATACTATTTTAATAGAATAGATATTTTATTTTTAGCGTTACAGTGGCATTGATAATGTACAATAATAACTTCTTCTGCAGTAGTCTGTGTAATATTTTAAAATAATGGTATTTCCTCACAAATATTTTCAACGAGCTATTATAAAATTGAAATTTATGACATAATATAACATTTAATTATTAAAATGCAAATTATTTAAAGCAAACAATCAGATTGTCCGTAAATGTATATACTTATTAAGAAAATATATTAATCTATATATTATAAATCTATGTACTATAAATTATTTGGTAGTATCGTTTTCTCTTGCTGCCTGATGATAACTCACTAAGCTCTATAAAAATGAATATAAGAATCAAAAATATTCATTCTCATAAACGCTGTTATTGTTAAAAAATAGGATCTCTCTGTCTTTCTTCCTCATTACTCAGTTTTTGTAAATGTCATCTTGCGAGCTCGACAAGAATAAAAAATACATTCAATTTTGTAAAATTACTCGATTTTTATCAAAATATTAAGATTTTTGGTCGCCTTTCAATGGATAGTCTTGTGACATATACACTACGGGAAACGTAGTTACAGGATCCGACTTTCCCAACGGTTCATAACCGTTCACTAGATTCTCCCGTAATTCCCAACGACGCCTCTCCCTTTCTGTCTTTTGACGTCTAATAGCTCGGCCAAGCATACACGCGAACATAATTCCCGTTAGCTAGAAAGAAATAAGTAAGATTAGAGATTATTATCAATTTTATTTGTGTAGATAAACTAATCTTGAAGATCGCGCTTTATCTTGTAAATGCTTGTTAATATTGATATCAGCGATTTCGAATTTTGACATGCGGGAAATGAGATTAAAATTAAGTTACAAAAAAAAAGAGCTGAATCTACCTGAATAAGGGCGATCGCTACGGCTCCCGTGCCGATATATAACGCGCTGCGGTGAACAATAATAGAAAGCCGACTAATACAGCCCTCGTGATATTTTCCATAACAGCGGTCCGAAAGCTCATCCACTAGATATGCACAGCAAGAGTCAGGTACATCTATATGTGTGTATTATTGAACGGTACATTGTTCCAATCCATGTAGCCATTATACCCGCAACAACGTAACTGTAAAAACAAAAAAATACCATCGATTATTTTTCAAAATGCTTCTTTCTGTCCTTGTAAAGAATACGCTATATCTTGAAAATGGTATGTTATTTTTAGGACATGTCCGGTGCCACTATATCTCAACGGATTTTTCTACAGTTTTTTATTCACGGAACGGTCAGTTATCTCACCCTGGACTGCATAAAATCGATCGCGAACTTGGTTTCCTCGTTCTTTCCGTATTGGTGCATCGTTAGATTAATCTTCTCGGTTAAGAGATCCTCGATACCGTCCTGCAGGGCATACGCGGCAACGGCAGCGGCAAGTTCCAGTATCAATACAAATGATAGCAAGACTGCAAATTAGAAGCACACGCATAAAATGTAGTATAGTGTCAGAAAGAGAATGTTTGTAACAAATTAGAAATTATAGAGATATTCGGCTTACCACAAGAACCATACAGGTACTTTCTCTAAGCGCGCCGCAACATTCCATAAAAGCAATTATGAAGACAAGTATTCCAACCACAATTAAAAGGGTGGCTGGTGAAAAATAGCTCGCGTCCATAAAGTGCGAGAAGTTCTCGTAAATCGTCGTGCCGACCGATATTATCATCACCCCCGTCAACTGCAATAAGAATAACGATATCGTAATTTTATTATTATGTTAACCACACAATTAACTATTGTTTTTGCTATATCATTAATTTTAATGAAAAATCTTCATTCTTCTTCAATATATATGAAATAATTAAATAATTGTTAACCGCAAAATGCCGAGGAATGACATTCATACAAACTTCATCTACGAATTATTTGATCGATCTAAAGTCGATACTTGTTAGCGAAAATTTGATTGGATATTTTAATTAGACAAAACGCAGTACTGATTAGAAACTAAATGTTAATAATTAAGAACTTCTTTATAAGGAATAGTAAGTTTGAATTAAGAGTATTTGTTATTTTAATTCGCGAGCTTTTATAAATAAACTTTTATAAATTAAAAAAAACAGATCTTTAATTTGTTTCATGTTTACAGAAACCTTTTCCTCATTTCTGTATTCTTATTGCAACTCTAAAGTTCTGTGACTTTTTAGCAGCTTGTTTATTATTTCTGCTTATAATGACGATTTAAATATGCAGTATTTCACACAATTTGTGAACCGTGTAATATACCAAACGTAATGCACGTTTACTGCACGTAGTATGAGGTTTCGATCATTTCCGTAATACGCGGTGTTACGTCCAGCGGACTCTACGATATCCCTTTTTCGCGGGAATTC